ATTGCCATTTATTTTTCCAGTGCCATTTATTTTTTCAGTGCAGTTTTTTAAAGATTATACAATAAAAAGTATATCACTAATTATGCCATGTAAAAGTGTTATAAGAATGTACAATTACTGATATATGCTAACCATATGAAATTTAACAAGTATAAAGTCACATATCACCAAATAGTATGATTCTCAGGGTAACCTAAGTTTTGAAATAAAGATTAAAATATCTACATAAGATAATCAACATTATGCCCATAGGACTAATGCTGACATTCAGACAGTGCCAAAGATACCAATCTTTATATTGTTATATGTTGCGGTAATATGTATTAGTACACGAAGATAGGTTTTGATGTAAAAGTGCCAATTAAGATCGTAAGTTAAACTCCATAAAAATAAGCCTATTATATGCTTCAATGCATATATAATTAAAAAATTTTTCTTTAAATAAAAGTTCTAGTGAGTTCACATTCTTAGTGATAATAATCTCATGTTGCAAACAGCACAGCACCCTCTGGTGCATCTGTTATAAGAAATATAAAATTCCCACAGAAAAGGACAGAATTATACAGTAACGTGAACCTTAGAAATCAATAGGTTGATAGTTTTTTATTTACTGCAGTACATATTTTTGAACATTAATACTTAAAAATATTATCATTTTAAAAAATCACTATAAACATTATAGCAGTAAATGAAGTCAGGAAAACGCTTAGTTTGAAAATATTTAACCAACAAAAACAATACCTATTTCCAACATATAAAAAATGCTGTCAAAAAATTATTTCAGTGAAGGACGACAAAAGTTAACTTGTCATGTTAACCAAATTTCACTTTATTCAAATCGGCCCTGGGGTTTGACTTGGGTGTGTAAAATGTTCCTGTGTACTTTTTCTGGATTCAAAGGGAATTTACCATTATTTATAAGAATTGATAAGTGTTTTGTGAAAGAATCTGCAAGTTCTACAACTTAAAAATAGAATAATATTCAGAAATAAAAGTTACATTAAATTATGAATCTTTAGTAGTTCAAAACTTATACTTTATTTAAAAAAAAACTTTTCCTAGGAAAATAATTAACTCTTAAAGTAGATTTTACTAACAACAAAAGCAAAGGATGCCACCTGCTTTAGACAGCCCTTTTGTCAACCACTGGAAGTCCCAATACAATGCAGTAAAAAATGAAAGTGACACCTGTTTAAAGCAGCCATCTGTCCCTAACAAGCTAGATTCAATCAAATCCACTTAATCTTGGATTTCCAAAATATGGGAACACTATGTAACTGAATAGAGAGGAATTTAAAACATACTTTGTGATGGCCACTGGAAATATATACCAAAAAGTTAAAGGCAAATTATTCAGTTATGAAAACTGTTTTTAAAGTAATTAAGCTCAAATAGAGGATTTTTAGCCAATGGTTCAGCATAAAAACAAAATAATCAGGAGCCGCTCCAAAATGTTAAAGTTTACTTCTTCCCTATTCTCATTTCTTGTAACACATTCTCACTATGAATACTAAGAACAAAGTAACATTCCTATTAGTGTTCTGGAAAAGTGTGTTTGTGTGTGTGTGTGTGTATGTGTGTGTGTGTAACTCTTGCCACATATCTTCTGCTATGCCCACCCATTTAAACACAAACACATACACAAATATACCCACACTTTAAAATCTGAAAACCAAAAATCATTATATTCTACCTGCTAATTTCTTCAGCTGGAGAATACCAACACAATATCAACTTTCTCAAGAAATGAAAAACGTTATCAAAAAGTAACATATATTATCATTTAAACGATGCATAAAATCCAACTTGCTTTTAAGATTCATTCATTTTTTAATCGCTATTTTTAACGGTAAAAAAATTACCGTAATAAATTTGTTTAGGGTAAAATACACTGTTTCGGGTTAAAGCATATTAAGCTTATAAACTATAACCTTTTATTTGAGTACCAGAGTACAGGACTATGTGAGTACTGGAGGAATAATACAGAAAAACTAAGCACCACTACAACATTTAATGAAAACATTGTGAAACGATGCAAAATTTCTAGAAATTCATTAGCTTGCCAAATATGTGTATACGTATGATGCCTACACCATTTAATATAATTCACAGGCAAAACAAACCAAAAACACTGAGGCATTATGGCATACATTGAATCACAGATATTTAACTATTCAAAACAAGTTACAAGTGACTTCTGCTAAAATAGTTTTAGTTTCAAAGCATGATCACTTTTACAAATTTCTATTAGTATAAAAACTAAAAACACAAGAAAGTATCAATATGTAATATAGTCCCTTCTAGGAAAAATATTAAGAAAGAATAAAGTAAAAGCTAAGTATCTACTCTTGGGTTTAATTTTTAAATTTACCATTTCTTAGTGTTTCTGATTATTTAAGCAATTCCACAGCAGCTCTAATAGCAATTTTATTCCACATATATGCCTCAAAAAATGGAAAAGTAATGAAATTCAAGTTCTGCTCTCAAATCAACTTGTGAATGAAAATCTAAATCACAGAAAACTTGAGCTATACATGAGTGAAATGCCTCAAAAAAGTTCTCAGACACTGCAAATATTAAATTGTAACATTCCAGCATATAATTTGCTTAACTGAAAACCTATTATGTAAATGGCATAAGGTCTGAAACTGTCCCAAGACAGCAAAACTCCTATTAACTTCAGAGAGTTTATAGGACCCAGGAGCTTCATCATCCAAAAGTGTTCAGGCATTTGACACTCAATCTGAACAAAAAAAAGTACAAGTTAGTATTAGAGATTTGCATGGAACCCAGTTTGGGGAGAGGAGGAATAATTATAAAGAATTCTGAGTACTCTGAGAAAGACTTCTTTCAGAACAAAATATCGTCTTCATTTAAAATAGCAATCGCAAGGAAATGAATTGAAAAAGTTTTTTAAAATCCCAACTCTTAGTTTACAAAATATTAGCCTTAATAGCATTATAATTACCTACCCTGCTCATTGACAATCTCAAGAATAATTAGTACTGTCACATTATTCACAAGCTGCTGTCAGTTAAATCAATATATGTTTGCTGTTAGAAGACTATTTGAATAAGCATTTTAAAACTGTAAATTAAAAACTTCAATATGTGCAACTATAATAGTACGTTGTATTTGTTTTAGCACACATTCATTTTCAAAACTCTTTATTGATAAATCTATTAACTAAAAGTTAAGCTGAAAAAAATGAACAAATTTAGGGGATCTGTAAAACTGGGTTAACGCTAACCAAGAACCTACTACATAAGGACTAATAAGTATTCAAATCTACAGAGAAATATAATTTTTAAAAGAAATACTTAAAAAGGAAAAAGTTCTCTCTCCTGAGCAGGTTCAAGTCACTGTCCAAAGAAAATCAAAAAGTAAATAAAAAGAATATGTTAAGTACAAACATGCCTAGATCTTAACCACAAAGAAAGTGAAATATACACACGTTTCAAGTTGAGAAGCTTCATACATTCTTTATGAACTTGACTTCAATTTCAACTCTCAAAGGAAAATGAACAGAGTAGATTAAAAAAAAAAACTCTTAAAGTACCATAACTGTCACAAATAACATTGTGAACTGAGTTCTCACAAAGCTTCCTTGTGTCCCTTCCCTGTTCATCACAAAGTCTCATAACCACAATGAAAATTGTTAACACTCTACTGCGGAGAAAGAGGATCATCAAAGTGAAACGGAACCTCACTACTACCCCTCCCACCTCCACATGAAGGATAAAGCACTGTCAATAACTACTAACCCAAGTATCACAGATGCCGTGCATCCGGTTTAAATCACAAGCACACACACACACACCCCCCAAAGAAGAGAGAGGAGACAGACTTTAAAAAAGAAAAATCTCTTTCCCAGTACAGCAAAGAGAGCCCAACGAAGAGGCCCCAGGTTTCCGTGTGTGTGCAAGGGGTGTGGGGGGGTGGGGGAGTAGAAAGAGGGGGAGGGAAGAGTGCTGAATGGATATTAAGACTGTTTGCCGCACAAAGAAAACACAGTTTTAAAAAGAAAAAGGAAAACCGTGAAGCTGATGATGGTGAAAGAAGAGCAGCCCATTCAGCACCAAGCAAAGAGGGGCAAAAATGAAGGGAATAGGCGGTGGGAAAAGTTCACCAACGTACGAGGATAAAAATAACAAAACCCATAACAAGGCCCCACAAGTGAACAACAACAACAACAAAACACCACCTCTTGGGTCCCCCCCTGCACACTGTTGTCTATTTCGGCTTTGAAAGAAGCAGGAAACAAGCAGCGTTAGAAAAGAAGAAAATTAAAGAAAGAACAAATTCTTATCTCTTCACCTGACCCTTCTCCTCATACCAGACCTAAGGGAAAGATCCGGCATCCGCATCGGAAAACTGTGGCTCCCTCTCCCGCTCGGCTCGCAGCCCCCCAATCTCCCGCTCCATCCCTGAAGTGCGGCCGGCGCAGGGCCGGGGCCGGCGGGCAGCGCGGCGCCCACACCCCCGACCCAGCCGCGGCGCGCAGGGTCCATTGTAAACAAGCCCGGGGAACAGAGCCCCTCGGCGGCGGCGCCGCAGCGGCAACCCCCGTGTCAGGAGTGAGACCCCTGCACAGCCACACTCGGCTCGCACACACGAACACACACACGCACGGACACACGCGTTCACACGCAGCCACACGCTCCCACACACATGTAGAGACCGAAGAATATTCACCTTGGCTGTGGATTATTGTGGTGTTGTTGGTGGGTGATGGAGATGGTGGTGGTGGGGAGGAGGAGGAGGAAGAGGAGGAGGAGGAGGAGAGGAGTAGTTGTTGTTGATGGGTAACAGTCGCCAGGACTACGGTGACTATGGCGCTTGATTCACAAGGCAACGGTTGCTATAACTCACAAAAGAGAGAGAGAGAGGGAGAGAGAGAGCGAGAGGGAGAGGGAGACACTCGCACGGGGAGGGGTGGGGGAGGGAAGAGGGGAGGAGGCGGGCCCGGCCAAGCCGCCGGAAGGGGAGGGAGCAGCGCTGTGACTGACGGCCCCCGAAGCCGGGCGAGGTGGCGGGGTGGCGGGGTGACGGGGCACGAGGCCGGGATTCCAACACAGGACTCCGAAGAGGTGCGCCTATGCTTGGTTGGGGCTGAGGTCACCAAGAGTCCTCTCAGAGGGACGTTACTACACGCGCTGGCGAAACCCAGGAGAATTTAGAGTCGCGGTGCGAGGATTACTATCTGTGAAACGAGGGCTGCCTTTCCCGGCAGCCAGCTTTGTGCAGAGACGTCCCGGAGCCACGAGAGAGTAACGGCTAACCCGAGGGAGGGGGTGGCGAGGGTGATTCCAGGCACTTTGTGGAAAGACGAGCTATGGCTAAGGAAGAATCCACTTTGAAGAGCAACCCCCGCCCCTGCCCGATACGTTACTTCCGGGGCGGGGCGGGCAGAGGGGCCCGGATGTGCCGCCGGTTTTTTCGTTTCTGAGGTGCCGGCGGTGTTCCTGGTCGCGTCAGCCTGCTGGCTTTTCGCTTTCCTGGACGCTTCAGGGCTCCGCGGCCTGCGCTGGACTGGAGGATCCGCGTCACTCTCGCCCTTCTGCTTTCCGCGCTCTGACCCACTCCCGCCTCCTGAGGGCACGACTTGGAGGAGCGCGGGCGGCGGGGCGTGAGCGAGCAGCCTCTGCCGCCATCTTAAGAGAAGGCGAGCGTGGGGTGCGCGTGGGCGCGAGCCGGCCTCCCGCGGCCCCGCCGCAGAGTGGCGCGGAGAGGTGAGGTCCAAGCGTGTCCGGCCCTCACTCCAGAACGAAAAGGCGAGGTCATCACTCCCTGCTTACAGGGCTGGGAGTAATTGCCTGTAGAGAGCAAGAAATTACCCTGCCCGTAGGCCGAGAAAACGCATTTGGCGAGTCTCCTCGACGGAGGGCGTAGAGGGGCGGGGTAACTTACACCTGCCTGCGACACCATCCTGTTAGTTTCTAGTTCTGTTAGTTTAAGCCCTTACGTGCTCATCCCTCTTTAAATACAACCGGGGCTTGAGCTCAAGCCTGGATCCTGTTACCTACCTTGCCCTCAGCCCCACTTACTCAGCCTACTGTAGCTGAGGGTCTTGCTATTTCCGGCTGAATTGAGATAGACGAATGGCTTCCGGCTGTGTTGAATGTTGTTAACACAACCTGCCATCTCAAACACGGGTTGATAAGGCACAGCGTCTAATGCCTCATGGTTCGAACAGACTCCTCCAGTTTTCTGCAGACTTGAGTCCAGCAGGCACATGCCCCCAGGCCCTGCCAATACCCAAAATCTGCCAACATTTGCCACTAAGCTGCTTATCCAAGACAATGACATATTAGAAGTAGAGCGTTAGGAAGTCAGTTCTCCTCTTGAGGCTTAATTTTTGCACCTGCAAATAAGGGATTTGGGCCGGCATGAGTTCACCAGCGCTAAAATAATACTGAGCTCATTCTGTTTCCCAGAACTGGTGCGAAGTGTTTTACATACATTATCCCATGTAATCCCAACACCACCAGTGCTAGGTAGTATTCGCATTTGAGGAAAAACAGGCACAGAGTCCTAAAAGTCCGTGGTTTTAGTTTATGGCTGTGTGCCATGGAATACAAGGTTACCGTGTTTTGGGAACCAGCTACTTTGGGTACATTTTAAAAAGTAATATTGTTGCCTTTGATAATCTCATGAGTTACAGATGTTCTTACAATAATAATGTGTTGCAGTAGTGAACAGTGGTGAGCCTAGTGCTAAAGCTAAAAGGTTTCCTGACCCACTGTGGTAGTAAGGGTTTCTAGTCAGACAAATGACTGTGGTGACCAATGTGGGTCCCATTTTACATACAGATGGGAAATGAGGTATATATTCCAGCTTTATGAAAACTGGTAGTTCTTATGAATATTCACTTTATTACATTTACTGATAAAGTCCTCTTTCCTATAATGGTGTGTCGGGCTGTATGCCCACACTACATGGCTCTCTGAATCGCTTTGTTTTTTAAGTTCCATTGTCTGTTACATGCCTGTCCCTTCTTTCATTGTCAGCTGTTGCTTTTTACTGCTGTCAGTGAACATAGTTCTATTATCCTCACCACCCTTTTAATTTACTACTCTTAATCTACAGGCAAGAAAACCACATAGTGAAGCTTGTGCAAAACTGTATCTCAAGAGTATAAATAGGTACTTTGAGGGGCTATTAAAAAATAAGTGCAACCCTTGTGCTAGAACATTATAAAATTAGTTTTAAGCTGCGTAATCTTTTTTTTTTTTTTTTTAATGCCTTACAGGTTTGATCTTTTCCAGAGTTAGGAATAGATACATTTCCTGAAGTTAATGCTTGAAAATTTAGAATTTAAAATATTTACCCATGTTTTAGGATACTTGATGATGACACAATTCTAACCATATTGAGGTTAATATTTGAAATGTTCAGTGTTCCTGCCTGATAGGGTTTGGCTTTGTGTACCCACCCAGCTCTCATGTCAAATCATAATCTGCATGTGTTGAAGGAGGGGCCCCGTGGGAGATAATTGGGTCCTGGGAGCAGTTTCTGATGGTTTAGCACCATCCCACTAGTGCTGTTTCATGAATGAGTTCTCAAGAGATCTGGTTGTTTAAAAGTATTTATCACTACCCCTCTCTCACCTGCCACAATGTGAAGAAAGTCCTTGTACCCTTCACCTTCCGCCATGATCGTAAGTTTCCCTGAGGCCTCCCAGTCATGCTTACTCTTAAGCCTGCAGAACTGTGAGTCAGTTAAACCTCTTTTCTTCATAAATTACCCAGTCTCAGGTAGTTCTTTATAGCAGTGTGAAAACGTACGAATACACCACCACACTGAATCAAATAAGCAAGATACCAATTCAAGCTATAGAATCGAAAATACGGATTTTACATGCATCTATCGTTTAATACTGTTAATTAGTTACAAAAGAACCCAGAAACCTTTTAACCCATGGTCATTGCTTGTAGGATGTTTTTTTAACGATTTTTTAAAGCTGCATAGATGCATCTTCACGGATGTTGCATGTATGTTTCAGAAATAAATTATTTGCTAAGAAGTCACAGAAAAGACCCAGTATTGGACCACTCTAACAGTTATCACCTATTATAGTACAAAACACACTGTGTGATCGATTAAAAAAAAGTACATAACCAAGCTAAAGTGGGGCAGACATAGTTCCTGAATGTAAAATGTTCAACATTATCTATTAATTTAGAATGTTGTGTTTCAACTTTGGATTCTTCTTTCTCTCCGATCAGAATGATTGGAAGAGACAGGGAATAACACATTTGTATCTGAACTACTTGAAGAAAAATCTGAAGCCCTGATTATATATATAGATTGTGCATTTCGTAAGTTACTTTTAACACATTCATAGTGGTACATTTTCTTTTCTGTATTATCTATTAGGGTGTTTTTGCCTATTCATATCCACTGCATATTCAAGGACTTAATAAGTTTTTTCATTATTAATACTTTAAAAAAGAAAGGATGCATATGAAAAGATAAAATACTGATATGTGATAGGCTTGCTTCTGAAAAATATCAGAGTTTTGAAAAGTAATACAGTCCGTGGCACCTTATTGTTGAATTTGTGATGAATCTTTATAAGAAAGAAATCACACCTGTTTTAAATTTTTTCATTTGATTATACCCTATTTTCTTCAATTGAGAGAGAGAGGTGTAGAGTCGTGGATTCTCTTATATAAAATGTATTGTTTCATTTCTACCAGTATTTATTGAGCACTTATGTAGAATACTGGATAATTATATTACTGGATTACTAATTGCCTTTACTAGATCTGAAATTCTGTGGATATGTGATAATTATTAAAAAATGACAGAGAGTGATAGGGGCCAAGATAATTCAAAACTGAACATAATTTGCCACCATTCTCTGGAGCACCCTCAAGCCTACCTATCCCCACCTAAAGTATGTTTTGGTTTGGAAAACAGTGCAATAATATTTTCTTCTAGATTTGTCTTTCTTTGTTTTCTTTAAGTAATACAAACCAGCTGATTACTCCAGCAGTTCTGAAGAGTGTGTGTAGAGTGTGTATGCCCATGTGTACACACGTTTGTGTGCATCTGTGTGTCTTGGAATTACATTTTTACTCCAACACAGAAAGATGATAATAGAATCATAAGTTGACTACCTTTGCCTAACACCAAAGTAAATTACCTTTTGATGTACACATGCAGCTTTAAAAGAAGTAGTCTGGGGCCAGGCACAGTGACTCACGCCTGTAGTCTCAACACTGGGAGGCCGAGGCAAGTGGATCACCTGAGGTCGGGAGTTTAAGACTAGCCTGACCAACATGGAGAAACCCCATCTCTACTAAAAATACAAAATTAGCCGGGTGTAGTGGCACATACCTGTAATCACAGCTACTTGGGAGGCTGAGGCAGGAGAATCACTTGAACCTGGGAGGTGGAGGTTGCGGTGAGCCGAGATCACACCATTGCACTCCAGCCTGGCCAACAAGAGCAAAACTCCGTCTCAAAAAAAGAAATAGTCTGGAAACAATTCAAATGTGTATCAATAGGAGGATGGGAAAACTGTGGGCCCAGCACAAGGACTAACACCTGTAATCCCAACACTCTGGGAGGCCAAGCCATGAGAATCACTTGAGGCCAGGAGTTTGAGACCAGCCTGAGCAACATAGCGAGACCCTGTCTTTACAAAAAAATTTAAAGCTTAGCTGAGCATGTTGGCACATGCCTGGAGTCCCAGCTACTTGGGAGACTGAAGCAAGAGGATTGCATGAATCCAGGAGTTCAAGTTTGCAGTGAGCCATGATCACTCCACTGTACTTCAGCCTGGGTGAGAGCAAGACCTTGTCTTAAAGAAGTAAAAGAAAGAGTAAAACAAATTGTGATAACAGTCATACAATGGAGTACCATTGAGCAAGTCAAAGGAAAGGACTGCTGATACAACACAGATAAATCTCAAAAACATTGCATTTGGCAAAAGAAGCCAGACTCATAGCATATGAGTCCATTTATATAAAATTTAAGACCAGGAAAAAGTAATCTATGTTTAGTGTCTTCTTATGGCAGAGGCAGTAGGTTGGGATTTTAGTGGAAAGGATTATGAGGGAACGTGATAGGATGATGAAAATGTTCTGCACTGTCTAAGCTGCACTAATGACATGTAGCTATTAAAATCTAAATATTAATTAAAACAAATTTAAAATTCAGTTCCACAGTCACACTAGCTACATTTTAAGTGTTCAATAGCCACATGTGGCTACTGCCTGCTAAGTTGGACAGTGCAAATACAGAACACTATTATCTCAGAAGTTCTAAAGAGTTCTAGTCTCTACTGCCTGCTAAGTTGGACAGTGCAAATACAGAACACTTCTATTATCTCAGAAGTTCTAGAGAGTTCTAGTCTAGATCTTGTTTTATGCAGGTGTTTACATTTTTCAAAATTGTAATTAATATGCATTATATATTTATTATATGCCAGTAATACCTGCCCCCAAACACTATAAATGATTAATAGAATTTTTGTTACTATATTATCTACCTCATTAGTCCACGTTTTCTGTAATATTTTTGTTCAACCCTGCAGAGAAAGGATAAATAGTAAAATTCTTGGCAAATTTTCAAATATGTAAGTGTGACATACAATAGATAACATTGATTTTCTGCTCAAAAAAATGAATTCTGCTACTTTATAATTCTGAATGCATCTAGAAACAAGGAATGTATTTTGAGGGCTTAAAGTGAGCTCTAGATGAATACAGAAAAAATTTTTTGTGTTAGAATCAACTATCTTAAATATGGTGGAGATCATACAACCTTCTAAGGTAACACTTAAGAGTGTTTGGGAGATATTGGTGCTAACTCTATGACTAGGTTTAGAAAGTCAAATAAGCTCTGTAGGTAACACTTCAGACTTAAACCTTTGGAGGTAGAAGAAAACTCAATTTGTAAGTCAAGGATAAAAAGACCTGAATGATCTCAATTCTAAAATTCTGATTTTAATGGATTTTAAGAGATGGAATACCAGGGAAATTGATTCAAAATACTAAATATATGTGTTTAAATAGTACTTCAGTGAAATTAAGAAAAATTGTTGATAGAGTAAGTACCTTAATAATGTTAATAAATATTTCTACCAGCATTTTTTAAGACCCTTGTGAACCCCAAGTAGATTTTTACAAGACAATGAACTTTAACTGTTAAAGATTAATTCCTATAAATGAATCAGCAATTCATGTCAATAATATGTACTGAAAAGTATTTTATTTACTAAATTATTGTCAATTATATATAAAAAAAGATTTTATTTATCCAAATTCTTTAACAAATTCTTGTTTTCTCTCTCTCCCTCCTCCTCCCCAATCCTCTCCCTCTCCCTCCCCTTCCCTCCCACTTCCTCCCTCCCCTTCCCTTCCTCCCTCCCTCTACCTTTTTTTTTTCTTCTAGTATAATCTGCAGTCTGGAGAAAACATCTCCCAAGTTCTGTTGGGCCATTCTTCCTATTGGAAGTATACTAATAGTATCTTCTCACTGGAACATGTCATAGATCTCACCCGCCCCACACACCAATATCACAGTAATAATACATAAAACCTTCATTTAAATTGTTTTTGAATGTGTATATCAATGGTTACAGCATATGACTGAACTTTTTTCATCCTTAAAAATGTTTTTTTAAAGCAATATATAACCACTAATGAAGAAAAATAAAGATTACTGATTGACGTAACATGTATTTGTCTCATGATGCCTTTTTTGTTTGTTTTGAAAGGGGGATTTATATGCATGCAATATCTTTCCAAAAATTTTTTTTAGCTTATTTACATTTTTGTTTTGAGGGCAAGGAACACAAAAATATACATTTTGCAGTGGAATGTTTAAAACACTTGCCTGCAAGTACTATTTGAAATGTTATGTGGTACTACTTTCTCTCATGAAAGAGATGAAGGGCCAAGTGCCATGCCTTACACCTTTAGTCCCAGCACTTTGGGAGGCCCAGCCTGGGCAAGAAAGAGACTCTGTCTCTACCAAAAAAAATTAAATTAGCTAGGCGTGGTGTGTGCCTGTAGTCCCAGCTATGTGGGAGGCTGAAGCAAGAGGATCACTTGAGCTAAGGAGTTCGAGGCTGCAGAGCCATGGTCACACCACTGCATTCCAGCCCTGGTAACAGAGTAAGACCCTGTCTCAAAAAAAATTGTAAAGATTAAGGCCATTTTAAAGACTTGGTTTGAAGACCTCCAACCCCAAATAATATTAAACACATGAAAATACATCCACATCACATAAAATATACATGACTAAAAATTGAGTTTAAAAATGACATGAGTTTAAAATTGAGTTTAAAAATGTTTTGTAGACGTGTTTTTTTTGCAACTTTTCATATTTTGCAGTCAACTTTTTTTCTTAGATCCCCAACATTTTCAAAAGACCTTGAGAACTATATAAATCCTAAGCATAGTGATTGATGGATAAAATGGCCCTGAAATAACAGTGGCAAAAGTGAATTTAAAACAATTTTGTTTCTTAGGCTTTTTTCCTTCTTCTTATAGAGGGAGGGATTAGTTAATAGATCCACTGAGATAAATTATAGTGAACTTTCTGCTAGTTTCACAAAGATCAGAAAAAAACTAATAAAAGGGTGATTACTTAAGTGTACTTGAACTCAGTACCCTAATTTGGCACTGCAACCTTTCCTTCATTAAAAATTGATATACGTCTTTATGAAAAAATAAAGACAGTTGGATTTGCTTTATAGGGTTATCTTACTTGTAACTTCAAATGTGTGACAAGAGTAATTATAGACTACTTGTTAAATGTTACATCGTTTTTCACCCAGAAGAAACAATCTTTAAAGGAAGAACACTAATTTGTTTGAAGATTGATAATAGACGAGAATTTTTAAGTGAGTAATAAAAAGATTATATAAAACTGTATGACAAAGATTTTTATAGGGTTAAACATGCCTATTTTGAAAGTGGATAAGTTTAAGATTAAATTCCTCCTTAAATGAAATACGTAAAATTGCATAAAATATCCATATTATTTTCTTTTGAGCCAGTACTGACTCTGATCCTACTATGAAAGACAAAGCACTGACTTTCTGGAAAAACCAGAAACCATCGACTGCTAAGAAACCAGCTGCAGAGGTGGCAGAATTGAATGATGTTTAATAAGTGGATCTACACTGGAGTTTAGGTGGAAGTTCTTCTCACTGCTGAGAGCAAATTAAGGAAGTATCTACTACAAAAGTAATTTCTATAAGACTATATTTAAGTTAATTTAGTTGTACAATTAAAACATTATAACTTATTAGCATCTCTTGAAAAAGCCATACTTCTGTATTTGACAATCATCTTTGGAAAAGAAACAAAATTCTGAAAGTTTATTGTAGACTTCAAAAAATATAATGCTTACCTGCCACAAACAGGTAAGACAGGCTGGAAGTTGTAATAACTTTTGGGAAGGAAGTTGATAGGAATGTTACTGGAATATCCACAATCAATCTTAATCTCATGTCAACTATAATGAAGGAATGTAAAGGTGAGAAAAGGAAGAAACATTATCATAATCTACTGAGATGGTTAGTGTGGTCTTTTTTTTTTTTTTTTTCTTTAAGTATTGTGGTCTCATGGGTTGATTGTCTTTTGTTTGTTTTTTTCATTTGTGTAAATGAGCCAAAAGAAACAGGGAAGCAGTAGTTGTAGAGGTAAGATATGGTTAAGACTTGGGTTAAAGCTATAACTAGGAATAGTGAGAGAGGATATATTCTAAAAAATACAATGGAGGAAATGTTTACAGTACTTGAAAATGTCAAGCATGGTCAATTTTCTAATATTTATTGAGGACTGGCTATATCTGCTATATTGGTTATTATGGACACATGGGGATAAGGAACAAGGAAGAGTGAAAAGTACAAAAGAACTTAAAGTCTAAGTTCCTTGTTATGCCAGATTATCTTCTATTTGTGTCTCCATATTCATTCTTGACTCTTTTTTACCTGCCTTTCTAGAAAGCTGACCTTCATGCATTCTGACCACATCATTGCTTTGTGGCTGCCAGTTGGTTTCCATCAGTGGGCAGCACTGGCAGGAAATTGGAGACATGGAGAGAGGAGAGTAAAGTCAGGTTATTTATTACCTTGTCTCCTACCTTGCAAAGTTGCTTCAAGATAGCCATATCCATTGACTAAGGAATTCTGATAAAGGCTCCTTCCTCTCTTTAGGCTTATGGGCGGTAACAGTTCCACTGCTCTCTAGGTTACTGCACCATTCTTTCAGTTTCTCTACACCCACATCTTGGTAAATAGGCCCTTTGTACTTAAATTCTCATCAAACTGCCCCCTTTCTAGTGTATCATCTGTTTCTTGGTGGGACTTTGATAACACCTCTCAGACTAGGAAAAATTTTGCTTGAATTGCCATAACAAAACACTATAGACTGAGTGGCTTAAACAACAGAAATTTTTCTCACACTTCAAGAGACTAGAAATCGGAGATCAAGGTGTCACTGCTTGACACCAAGAGATGGTCTCTTCTGAGGACTTTCTGCCTGGCTTGTAGGTGTCCATCTTCCCCCTGTATCTCCACATGGTCTTTCCTCCATGTGTCTGTGTTCTGTCTCATAAGAACATCAGTCATATTGGATTAGGGCTCAGCCTAATGACCTCATTTTAACTAAATTATTTCGTTAAATGTGCTATCTCCAAATACAATCTGAGGCGCTACTGGTTAGGACTTCAACATATGAATTTGGATGGGACACAATTCAGTGTATAACAACTCTAGTTGAAGAAGAAAGGCATAAGATAAATTAGAAAATATTTCAAGATTATGAGTGTAGGTATGAATATAAGAAAAGGACAGTATTGGATTTACTCTGAGCAGAACATTAGAAAGAGGAAAAGATAGGACTTTTTTTTAATAAGCAGTTTTATAAATAAGCAAATTTCAGTGACAGATTCAAGTGGAGAGGCACATACAAAAGAAGTCCCATGAGCTAAGAACTATCAGATGAGGAGACTGATCTAGGAGCCATGTAAGTAACAGAGTAACAATGATTACCAACATTTATGAAGCATTCTGACAGATTATTATCTGCTCCCCTTCTTTTATGAAAACAGAATTATTCATGTTTTGGGCTGAGCCTGAAGACTTACTTTCCTGGTTTCCCTTAAAGTTGGATGGAGTCTTTTGACTAAGCTCTGGTCAACTAAGTGTTCACAGGGCCACTTCAAAAATATTTTGAGCCAGCTTATTTATGTCCTTTACCCTTTCATCCTTTCATTTTCATTCCCTTCTCCATCCCACTGTTTAGAAGAAGGATGCCACCAAGTCAAGCACATGGAGCAACAGAGTAGGAGACTAAGACCCTAATGACTGTGAGGCCACTATACTGCTCTGCATTATGTTTACATGAAAAAGAAACATCAGTCTTGTTTTCTGTCTCATAGTTAAACCTAATCCTATAGTACAAGCATTTTCTATGTGCTAGGTATTGTTCTCAGTTTGTATGTATTATTTTGCTTAATCCTGTAGCAATTCTATATGTAGATTACCATTATTATCCCCTATAAGGAAACAGACACAGAGAGATTAAATAATTTTCCCTAGACAACACACCTCATTTTTGCTGAAGTTGGAACTTGAACCAGACTAACAGACTCCGACTACAGAGTCTGCCCTCTTAACTGCTATGTTGAACTGCCTGCCTCTTATCTCTAATCCTACACCCAACCCGTTTGCATCTGAGAAACAGAATTATTTTTTAAAGCAGTAGTCTAAACAAGGGAATCTTGAATTTGGAACTCCACACGGTGTACCAGGGAAAACAACTTACATGAAAAAATTTGGTAAAGATTTCTATATACCTATAATCTTATTTTCTTTCTTATTTTGGTCTAAATTTTGCCTAAGTCGCTTTGTCTTTTGAAATACTGATAATGTGTCTCTTTCTAAAATTAATTTTTAAAAAAGACTTTACTCTGGAGAGCCTCTTGTGGAGGCTCTCTATAAATCTAAAAGGCAGTCTCTTCCTAGTTATCTGACTGTGATCAGCCCCATAGGGTAGGGTGTTTTCGATCTGTGCCACAAAGGGCCTTCCCTTGCCATATTCTGCCAGAGTCCTTCTCAGAACCCCAGCTGGGATAATCTTTGGTGCAATCCAAGGACAACTTCTGCACTTAATTGTCAGATTTCTCTTGAGAAAGACTCAGCTCTCAGTCAGGAGTCAGTCCTTATGGTGACAGTCTCTGTTGCACTCCCCTTAGCAGCAGGAGAGCTTTAAGAGTGTTACAGGGCTTTGTTAACCCCTCTCTTAAAGAAACTGGAGAAAAAGGGATTTTAAGGGTGTCTTGATTTTTTTTTTTTTCTTTTTAGTGTTTAGTAAGAGAAAAAACTGGGCCAGTGGAGATTGTTTTATTCCCTTCCCGTCTGGCCACATAAAAGGCCATGGGATCTACTCAGAGGATATTAATGCATTAAAATTCTCTAAAGAAATGAGGCATTAAATAAGGAATCCATTTATCCACTTGAAGTAAGTTCAGAAGGAAGAACACAGAAGGCAACGGACCTATGATATCTCTTACCCAATTTACTCTCAGGCTAGAAATAATACTGATAATCAAGAACAGTTTTATTAGGAAGAAATTTTGAAATCTATTCCAACACATACTGTAATTTTTAATTTCTACTGCTTCTAACCAATTTTTTCAGCTAACAAAGGTATTGGAATAGT